TTTCTTTCCTTACTCTTGGCAATCTTATAAATATTTTGCTCTCCTTCCTTCGTCTCAAGGTTCTTATAAAATTCTTCAAAAGCTTTAGAACGAGCTTCACCCACAGCTCTCTTAGTTTCCTTCTTAGCCATACGGTACCTCTCCCAATTTTCCTCATTGTTACACAAATGTATGGCTTTAAAACAGTTCTTCTTATACTTGATTTTGTCCTGTACACTATTATTCCACCACCAAGACTCCTTATCTCTCGGACCAGAACCTTTCGATTCTCCCAAAACTACTTTTGCAACCTCCCGTATCTTTTTAGCCATATCCTCCCATATAATGTTAGCACTTTTGGGACTCCGTTGTACACTGGTGTTGGGGAACATGTGTCAAAATTGACCACGGTGTTTAAATTGTATAGGTTGAAAGAGGAAAGTGAGTGGACTGATATGAGCTTTACAAACTTGCTTTCACTTCACAAATTACCATGGTAGTTTGTTATTATTATGGTTAAGTATATGTGGTAGTTAGAAGACATTACAAAATCCATGTGTTGAGGCCTCCACCAAGATTTGCGCATGGTGGTCGACGAATTTAATTAAAAATGCTTACCATTGGTTTCCTACAAGGGGAAGGTGTGGGTCAAGCAACTATGGTACCCCTGAGTTTGCTAGAAAAGAGGGAATCCATGATTTGAGAGTGAGTGTGGGAGATGCCAAGTAACCCCTTACAATTGGAGAGTTGGGATAATTCAATCTTACAGGTTAGTCCTATATGTTTAGTAGCCTATTAATTTAATTAGAGAATATAAGGAGAGTAATAAGATTGGACCATGATCATGCATGCCACATACCATTTACATGCATGCTTGAGTTCATGAATGTCATTGGTTATGAAAATTCCCACTTTACTTGCTCATATTTTCTTCTCTTACATGTGCTTAAATTTATGTTTATTGGTTACTGAGATTTTATATCTCACTCTTCATTGTTTAATATTTTTAGGAGAGACACTGAGTAAGGGCAAAGGGGAAGCACCGAAAGCTAGAGACCCTTAGCTCTTATTGTAATGTCTCTACTATTTACGTGTGTAATTTGAATACTTTATTGCCAACTTAGGGGTATTATGTTAGTTGAACTATTCAATCATTTGTTATAGCCTAATCACTAATTTAGGTGGTTTTGGGGCATTTTCAAGCTTGTAATTAGAGAGATTGAGAGAGAGAGAGGATCAAAGAAGCAGTGTGGAGCTCTGCTAAGGCATGAGATTTTTGGCAATTTTGGGGATTTTTGAGCTTGTAATCATTAGAGGTAAGTTTCCTAGCCTTCATTTTTCCTTCTAACTCCATTTTGATATTAGGGTTTCTAAGTTCCTCTTCAATTTGGTCTTTTGGTTGATTTTTGAGTTATGGGATGTTTATGGCTGAATTAATGGGGCTAAATTAAGTTGTTGGAAGTTAGTTTTTGCTTTTTGAACAATAGCTATTGGTGGTTTGGCCATTAAATTTGAATTTATGTGATTTAGACAAAACCTAGGTCTCTAAAAGATGATTTTGGAATTTTAGGTGTTATATTAGCTATTCATTAAGCTATTGGGAGTTAAATGAAATTAATAAATAAAAGTCAATGAACTCATTAAGTGTGAGATTATACTCGTAATTAAGAAAATTGGCTATTAAGGTGTGATAGTCAAAGTTGGAAGTGCTAATTTTAATGATTATTAGTGATGCTAGTTAATGTTATGTGTAGATTAATTTTGTGAAGCACTAGAGAGCTTGAGTTTAGCTTGGAAGCATGTGAGTTATTGGGGGTAACCTTTGAGTCCTCAAAGGTTTGAGGCTAAGAAGCACCGATACGGGTACGAGTGTCAGGTACGATACGATACGATACGCGGACACGGCTATTTTTCAAAATTTTAGGATACGGGTACGGCTATATAAATAATTAAATATTAAATATTTGGATGTCTAAAAATACAATTTCAAGATGTCTAATGTCATCACAAAATATAATATAATAAATAGTCAAGTACTTAAACACTATCAAGTGGCAAAAGATAATTATCAACTTAAAGTAATTCTAAACTTCTTCATCTTCATTGACATCACCACTTTCTTCTATAAGTTCTCTCTCCAAAATTGGCTCATCTAGAGATAAACTTGCAACTTCAAGATTTTCAACATCATCTATTTCCCAACAGTCTCCACTAATATCCTACAATCTACTTTCTCCAGTGGAATACTTCTCACTCTTTCTTGAAAGAAGACGAAGATTTGAATGAACAAAAACTAAGTTCTTTGCTCTTTTTGGAAGCATCCTGTTTCTCTTTAGTGAATGAACAAAAGAGTAAGTGCTCCAATTTCTTTCACAATAAGATGATGAGCATGGTTGATTGAGAAGTTTCAATGCAATCCTTTAAAGTTTAGGAGCATCAGCACCATGATTGCTCCACCAAACCTTAGGCTCTAATATATATCTATCTTGTATGGATTCAACAAAAGAGAACTCATCTGAACATCCAGAAAATTTTGAAAATTCATTCATAACCAATTTCCTCTCTTCTTCATCTGGAAACATCCTTCTAATGCACTTTTTCCTCTCAGTTGATATTTCAGCATCTCTATGTGGAGAGACTCTATTTAGTCCACCTTCAAGCCATTGTGTTGTATAATACCTACAATAATATAATAACATTAATTGGAGTTGTGATGCAAAAATGATAAAGAAAAGAATTTCATGATAAAAAATAAAAATAACACACCTAGGATTCAGTGAGTGGGCAAGACAATGTAGTGGAGTGACACTCTTTGTCCATCGATCAATGATGATGTTATAAACAACTTCATAAAATGAAGAGCTCAGAAAGTGATTTTCTTTCATGCTTATAAATTGATTCTTGATTTGCTCTATCATTGAATCCCACATCTCATAAATCAAATGAATTGTGGGTCTATCTGTGTCAGCAAATCTCAACATATCATAAATTGGCTTAGTGAAAGAGAGAATATAATCAACCTTCTCCCACCAAAGATCATTAAGAATTATGTGCTTCACAGTAGCAGCCTTTCCAACATCATCATCTCTATAAGCATTCCATTCTTCACTAATAACCAGTATACGAAGAGAAGTTTTGATAAGTCTGAATCTCTTCAACATCACAATTATTGATGCAAATCTTGTTTCGGCTATTGCAAGCAATTTTAATGGCACGAATTCATTAAACATGGCCAATCTCATAGAATGATTCATGATAAATGTTCGGATAAAGACTGCATCATCCCTCACCTTAGTGATCCAACGACATTCTCCATAAACAATTTCATTTGCCTCTGTATTTTTTATTGCACATATATTCTTCAAGGCAAGATTAAGTGTATGCACCACACATGGTGTCCAAAAGATGTGAGGATATTCATCTTCCACCATCTTACCAGCAGATTTACAAACAGGTGCATTATCAGTAATTACTTGAATAACTTTATGAGGCCCTACTTTTTCAACCACTTTCTTTATCAAGTCAGCCATGTAAAATCTATCTTTATACTCACTAGTTACATCAATTGCCTTCAAAAACATGGGGCTTCCATCACTGACAGCCATAAAATTAATTAATGGCCTTCTTTGTACATCTGTCCAACCATCCGTAACTATACTTACTCCCTTATGATTCCAAGTCCCTTTGATTGATTCAAGTTGCTTTTCAACATTGGCCCTTTCTTTTTGCAACAAAGTAGACCTTAGTGCATTATAACCAGGAAGTTTAAAACCAGGAATTATGTTGTTGGCAGCATATTGAAATGCACTAATAAAATATGGGTTACGTGCCAAATTAAAAGACAAGCCAGCCGAATAGAACATTCTAGCAATTTCAGCAGTTAAATTATTTCTAGCTCCTTGTTGGAAAGCTCTTTCTATTGTATTTATTGCCCTCCTTTTTCCCTGATTGTGTTCACTTTGAATAGGGGTAGAACCCCTTTGACATAAAGGAGACAAGCTCTCAGTTGGAGTTGGCAATGGCACATGTCTTGTTTTGTTCTATTCTCAGCCTCCTCTTGAGCTTTTCGCATTTCACCTAAACAACTATCATCAACTTTCGGGCATATAGCAATACCCTTTCCAGAGATCCTCAACAAATGAAATTTAACTCTAGAATAAGAGCCATTATATTGGTTATTACAATAGTTACACTTCCAACTTCTATTTCCGCCATCCCCTTCATTTTCTTGAGGAACCAAAGTTACATAAGCCCATAAAGGAGTACTCTCTTTCTGTCTTTCATTACTAGATTGAAATTGAGAATTCACACTTCCTGAACTACTACCGAGTCTAGAATTAGAAGCCATTACAGGTTTAATTTTAAATAATATCCTGCAATTTTAACAAGAAGAGAGCTAATAAAAATTTAAAATAAATCAATGTTTAACTCAACAAAATAATCCATCTAAATAAAAAAAAATTAAATCAGTAATTCAAGGTTTTGGACAGCTCTCTCGGTTCAGCAGTAATTCAATCAGGCGATCAGTTCTCTCGTTCAAATCAGTAATTCAATCAATAATGCAATGCAATAATAATAATAATAATAAAATATCCATCAGCACTTAGCAGCACAAGAGGAACTGAAAATGAAGCTGAAAAATGACCATCGACCGACCACATGAACTGAATAAATTACCAATGAAGCTGAAGAACGATGGTGAGGCAGAGCAGACGGTTGAAGACGTTGAGCCAAAGCAGACGGTCGAAGATGTTGAGCTAGAGCAGACGGTCGAATACGAAGACTGAGGCAGAGCAGACGATGAGCGGGTGAGGCAGCGACACAGAGTGAATCGTGAAGCTACTGCGGAAAACAGCGGTCTGAGTAAAATAATAGTTGATTGGAGCTGAAAAGATAGGGCAACGGATTTCTGGAGCTGGGACTAAGTAAAAGGAAGTGAAAAATGCAGAGTTTCGCGGCTGCCTGCGTCCGACCTTCGTCCGACCCGTGTCAACCCGTCTCGACCCGCGTCCGCCTGCGTTGCCAGAAACTGGGAAAAGGGACGCGCCCGTTCCTGCGTACTGAACGCGTGTCCGTGTCGGATACATATCCGACATGGACACGCCGGCCATTTTGCCGTGTCCGTGCTTCTCAGGTTTGAGGTAACCAAGAGAAATCTATTTCATGTTATTTTTGTTGAGTAATTGTAGATGTTTATGAAGTTGGAATTATGTTTTATGTAGTTATAGATATATGAAATTATTTATTGTTTTCATTTGAAAATGTGTAAGTGGGACTTGTTTATTAATTTGATTGTTAAATATTGAAATGATGATTTTTACAATTTGAATCTTGGTAATTGATGGTAAGTGTGATGATGTTGAAATATGCAATGTGAAATGGCATGAGATATTGGCATGATCTTATTGATGGCGAGAATTCACCTAATGGGGTAGTGATTGTGTCCATGTGGATTACCAACAATGTTAGGCCATGGTGTTAGGTTTTTTATTATATCCTTAAACTTCACCTAGCGAAGGTAGTAACGTGGCTCACCCTTAAACCCCAACTAGTGATGTTAGTAATAGAGTCTTTGCAACATCTTGGTGTTCGAAATGGGAGAATTCATAGTCTAAGATTGAGTATGGGACCTTAGCCCAGTTACCTCTCATAATTGATGAGCTTGGACTAGCCCAATCGCATGGGTTTAGCTCCTATATATTTGTAGTTCATGGATTTAGTCGGTAGTGATGGAGGTTTAGTAGTTTATGATGATCATCTATTGCACTAATTTGTATTGAATGATAATGATTTATATTATAACTGTCCACTTTGCATGTCTATTATTATTATTTGACTTGCATGAGCATGTTATAGACTACCTTGTTATTGATCAGATGTACTCACCTCTTATTTAACATTTTACAGGCCTTCGTTCAGGACCAAACAAGGGAAAAACCTTCGAGGCATAAGATATTTTATTCCTACTGTAGTGCCTCGGTTCACTTTTTGAATTATGTGTAATTAGCTTGATAATGCCAATTAGAAACATTATTTTGATTACTTGCACCACTGCATACCATTGTTGTTGTCTTGTATTTTGTGCCCTAAGTTATGTTATTGGGACGTAAATGTCTGAACAAGACCCAAACACTAGTGCAAGTATATTGTTAATTATTTTGATGATTGTATATGATTATTTTGTAGATTTTATGTTGATTACCTTCCCTTCTTTTTTTTATCATATTGGGGTTGAGAATTGAAATTTGTGAGATATGGTGTATATGTTTGTTTAGTGTATTAAACAGGTTGTCCTAAGTACTTTAGGCTTGGTCTAGATGGTGTTATAAGCTATGGGCATTTTTTGTTAGATTTGAACCCCTTAGTTGTTTTGAAGTGTGAAAAAGGGAGTTGTGTTTCTGAGTGTTCATCTTTGTGATGTGTTGTTATTTTGAAATGAGGCCAATGCTAAGGGTTAGATCTTTGAATAATTTTTCTAAAGATATTTAGATCATCTCAAACGGACATCGAATAATAAATTGAGAAGTATCAGAAGTTTGCTCACGAGATGGGTTTTAGGACAACTCTTGCCTGTCACAATTTGTATAGTACGCCATGGCGTGTGGCACCTGTGTCATGACACATGACATGGAGGAGGTCAAGCCGCAATGGATTTAGTGATAGTCGCTACAGACTCTCCATATGATGTTGAAATGACATTTTTATCTTTTTTTCCAAATTGATTTTAATTGCAACTCTAATTTATACTTATTTGAAGTTTGTTAATATTTGATTTAATGGTTATGTTTTGAAATTACTATCATATCACAAACCTAAAGTATAATTAGGAGGAGTTAAGTTTAGGGTGAACTTGGAGATTTTACATCAAGTAAATGGTTTAAATTGGAGATATTACAAATCCAACCAAATGCCTCTTACACTCAATTATGATCACTATACTGGTTTGGCAAATGAACCAAATCCTAATGGAAGAGGACATGGGAGATAGGCCGGGAAATTTGTAGAAGGATGGAGAATCAAGGTTTTTAAGTTGGGACGGGTGATTCTTTTGTGGAATTTTTCTTTTGGTAAAATTTCTTATGTGGCATCCGCAGTATGCCATGTAAGGAAAAATAGTCAACCTATCAGTAATACTTAACAGTCAAATTTAACCCCAATTAATGACAAGGACAACAATGATCCAGTATTGAATGTTTAGGGGAAAGGATGGACTAAAATGGAGTTTAGGATACTGGGTGTCCTTAAAAGTATAGTTTAGGGGTAAAAATGAACATTAACTCTAAAATAAAATAAGTTGCAGTTTAACAGTAATTAGATAAATTTAATTTCCTCTAGGTACTTTGAAGAGAGAAGACATAAATTTAATAACCTTCGAAGGAAGACATACCTTTTGGTGAATCAATCGTTCCTGCTATATATATCACACAAACAATAGTAATTAAACTGAGAAGATGAAAATTGTACCCAACCAAATTATATTCGAACACAGTATATGAAAAATCTTCCCAAAAATGTATTCAACGAATTAACAATTCACAGCCAAAAAAAAATGAGGTGCATTTATTGGGTATAAGAATTTACTGAAAGACAAAGGGATGCACATTTTTCAATGGCAAAAAGCATGAGGGGCATTTTTTTCCTATATATCCTTCTATGTTTTATTATAACACCTCGGTCATGTAAACAGAACACATGATTCTCTCTAAGAGTTACAATTTTCCCCACACACACACAAAAGATGATTGTTTTCGAAAGGAAATTTTAAATATTTTAACAATAACACATTTTTGTGTATAATTAAAATTTGAAATAAATTTAAATTCAAAAATAAAAATCAGAACAAAAAATGTATTACTTTTTTTAAAAATTAAACCAAAACATATGCAAACATATATAACTTAAATTTCTTTTTTAAACTGCCTCTAATGACAAGAGATGTCTATTGGCAAGGGAATAGATATGGGATAGATACTATTTAACAAGTGAGTACACTTGGATAGGTTTAATATAAATAATGATGATTTATTTATGGGAAGGGATAATGGGATGAAAACTATTTAACATGTGAAACTTGGTTAGAAAGAAATCTGCAAACGCAAATAATTGAGATACAGGTGGGACCTCTAGGATTACACGGACCATTTATATATACAGTACGTAGCTTTATAGATGGGAAAATGATAACTAAGGACCCCCTAAGGTCATTAATTTCAATTAAGAACCATCAATATTAAAATTCCAATTAAGGACCAAACATACATAACTTTACAAAAGTACCCTCTACTAAACACTATAATGTACATAACACAGTTGAAATCACTATTGTGGCATGATAATATTGTTAATATCAGTTGTAAAAGTAAAGAACCACACTTGAGAATAAATTATTTTCCAGTATGAAAGAAATTAACTTCTGAAACATTCCAATGATGCTTATAAATATGCAAAAGTGACTTGAGAATTTACTAATTTCACTTAGGAATATGAACTCAATGACTAGCTTGTCAAATTTTATGCTTATTTATATATAATTACTACTTGAAAAAAAAATAACACAGTTGAAATCACTATTGTGGTATAAAAATATTGTTAATGTCAATTCAGAAATATGGAACCACAGTTAGGAATAGATTATTTTTGAATGTGAAAGAAACTCACTTTTGAAATATTCCAAGGTTACTTATGAATATACGAAAGTGACTTGAAAATTTGCTAATTTCATTCAGTGATTTTATTTTTTCCTAAGGGACATGTAAGACAATTCATATTTTTTTAAATTTCAAAATCCAAATAAGGACCATGATCCTTGGGATTTTAATATTTTATGGTCGTCAATTAAAATTAATGATCTTATGGGGTCCTTAATTATCATTTTCCCTTTATAGATTTACTAGTTACTCCATCGTCCTCAAATATAAAATATTATTGTGTATTTTTTTTATTTTTTTATAAGTAAACCTATAAATTTTAAAAAATATTTATCAAATTTTTCTCAAATTGTCCCTTATCAAGTCAATATTTATGTTTACTAGACATAATTAATTTCATTAATTATATGATAATTTATTCAATTTTTTTTAATTTCAAGCATAATTATCATAACTAATTTTCTTAAATTGTGTGAGTAAATTATTTTTTATATTTGAAAGTAGAAGGAATATATAGCTAGATTGATATATACTCACTCTAAACCATAATATATATAGCGCATAATCTTTTTAATTATACCTTCATTAAATATCTTATATAAGAATCTTGATAACGATAATTAAAAATTTTCAATGCAACATCTTTTTTCAAAAAAGAATAATAAATAAAGTAAGGATATAATTGAAATTTTTTTTATAAAAATTACCTAATATCCTATATTTTGAACCAAGGAAGATTTTTAAAAAATGCATTATATGAGGGAGTAACTTACAAGAATATATATAGGATGTATTGAAATCTATATAAAATTATTCTCTATCTAACGTTCGCTGATATATATATATATATATATATATATATAAATTGAGCAAGATGTATTTGAAGGTGGAGGATCTGGATTAATTTCTCTGTTTTTCCTATTTTTCATTATCATAAGAAAGAATAATAAAGAAACACATGCAATTCTCTCAAGGAGTTTTAATTTCCAAAACAATTTCAATTCTTAAAAAAGATGTGTGTGTGTATTCACAAATGAAAATTATAAATACGTTTGAACAATGGCATTTTGAGGTTTTAATTTAAATATGAGATGATTCAAAAATAATAATCAGATTAAAAATAAGATACTAATGTTTTCATACACTCATACACACAAGCTTTATTTTTGGGAGAGTGGCATTAAAATCCCAAAACAATGAATTTATGACAATTAGATTCCTAACAAAATTTTCAGAAAAATAAATTGTAAATATTGATTTAAATAATCATAAATTTAGGAATTCTATACTACAAATAAGAAATTTTAAATGCAACTCTCAATTTACAGTTGGGATTCTTATTTGCAACTCATTTTTTTAGAAAATTTTGCCAAGAACTTAACTTTCATAAATTCTCAATTTTGGGACTTTATTATCATTCTCACTTTATTACCTCCTCCCTAGGGAAAGGCTGAACCATATAAGCAGGTCTAGTATACATTCTACTGAGATAACTTTTTAAGAGAGAATAATGGCCTCATGACAAAATAATATCTGAGCTGCACTCGAATTTACCCAATCGGTGAACCCTTCTAGCAAGCCACCCGTGGTAGGGGTGTCACAAATTAGCTAGAAAAGCTGTTACATCCCATATTTAAGGGACTTGGGGAAGAATTTGGTCATATAGGCAGGTGTGTTGCATGCCACATTGAGCTACTTTTTTGAAAAGAGAGTAATTACCCTATGGCTGAGGTCAATGCATTAGATATGGGAGCAAAATTATTTAACATGTGAGTACACTTTGCTAGAAATTCTCTCCTATCCTTGTCATAAGTTACTTATAACTAATTCATATTAATCAAGAAAAATTAGTTACATCATTAAAATTGTAAAAAATTCTTTGACTTCCATTTTTACCACTTATAAATACTATAGATTTTAAAATAAAATAAACTTCCAATATACCTCTATTTAAATGAAATTTTTTTCAATTTGCAATTCATTATTTATCATGTTAATGAATTTAAATAGGAGTAATATTAGAATAACTTGATTAATACCCTATGGATAAAAAAAATCTTTTTAGAAGGCACCTTGTAAGAGGGACCAGATGGAGTGTATAACTAAATTCAAAAACTTATTGATAATAATATGTTTATTAGGCATAGGCAGGCATGCATGCATATATATCAAGATTGATATAGATGAAAAGTTTTATATAGTTATTTAGCATTAATTAAATGAACATCTATAGAATTCACCCATCATAAATAGGTCATTTTTAAGATCTATATAAAACTATTTTATATACAAACGTACCTTGTGTGGAAGATGTGTTGGAAGGCGGAGAAGCAGGAGGAGGTGAAGATAATGAATCAACAACTTCAGTATCATAGAAGCGATAATTCTCATATCTAATATTGCAACTCATTTTGATAATCCTTCCACCAATCCTGTTGTTACAATAGTAGGGGATGCTTGAGATCGACTTCTCCAAGCAGTCATCACAATCTTGCTCAGACAAATCAGGCATACACTGAACAAGCCCATATATATTTTGAAACAAAGTTGTTGTCGTGTTCGCCGCGAACTTCCAACGAGTACTGCCAGCCGCCGCCTTACTTCTCAGCCTTCTCATCAGACTATCAAGGGCCTCACTGTACTTAATGTCTGTCGCGTTATTTGGGTTACACATGAAGATAGAAAAATCTGGATCTTGGTTAATCCCAAACATGGAACGATTAGCGTATCTTAGAATGCATCCATCATTGTATCCATATGCTTCCTTCTGATTTGGACATAGCCTTCGAAGAAGGCTTGTGGCGTTGTTGAGGAAACTACGGCAAGAGTCTGGCTTGATATCTGCTCTACATAGTCCAAGGGCATTGACTCTGTTAGGGTTTTGGCCTTGAGAGGAAGTGTAGTAGCCATAGTCAATTTTGTTGTTGGAAGTGAGATTAGAAAGGAGGAGGTTGAGTTTGGATTGGTAGGCACTTGTGTTAGTGTAGTTACCAGCTCCATTGTAACACCGATGATATATGAAGTCTTGCTGAGCAGTTAGGATGATAAAATGAGAAAGGAAAGAAAGCAGAGCAATTGATGATGATGAGATGATAGCAGTGGTTGTCTGCATCATGAAATGAATAATTTTGATAGATGCGATTTGATTTTGGGGATAGAGCGACCTAGTTGTTGATTTAAGCGACCGTGCAGAAAGGCTTTGCAACAACACGCGGCATAGTTAGGCACCTTTCTTCTATTCAGTCTATTTTAATTTATAAAATATTTTTAAATAAAACAATGCATAAAATAAAGTTTATTGATATACTTTATAATTTTATTCTTTTTAAATAACAATATAAATTTTAAAAATATTTTTCATTTAATTTCTTTTTTTACAAAAGAGTATTAGAAAGAAGATTTTAATAAAAAGGATAATATTATTTTTTAAAAAATGTTATATTTTAAAATATCGAATTTTCAACAAGTGTGAACGGGAGTTGGTTTTAATTTTTCAAATCAACAAGTCAATCTTTGACCGCAAAATAAAAAATCAACAAGTCCAAAGATAAAAACGCGTTGTCTTGGAATGTGTGACTTGTTCTGGATTATTGATGGAATTATATTGATACTTGGGGCGCGTTGTCAGAGAAAACGACGTATGTGGGGCAAGTTAAGTTATCTACCAGCCACGCTATTCTTCAAAATCTCTTCAAGATTTATAATGGAAAAATTTCTGTGAGGGACCTTGACCAAATATAATAAAAAAAATCTTTAATTTATAAAATTTTACTGTAGGATTTAGTGCTGAATTTAAATTAAATTTGTGATGAAAATTATAAAATTGCCTTGAACAACATATATATATATATATATATACATACATACATGAGGACAATGAGTTTTATTGCGGTTTCATTGCACGTTCGTTTGATAGTGACAATGAGTTGGCCCAAAAAAAGATGTTGACAAATGCAAGCCGCGCACATGGTTTCCATATATTTTATTGACTTGGACAATTTTTTTTTTAAGTTAAAATATATTTTTATTTTTATACATATATTTTAAAAATATTGAACACCTTGATGTATTAAATGAGACATATCTTTTAAAATTATTTTTTAAAGGAATAAAAATCTCTCTCTATTAGTGATCCATTAATGGAGGTGATTTTTGCTTATTCGAACAATGATTTAAAAAAAAAAATATCTCAATTACTAGTACAGAGTGCTCAGAGCTCCTTAAATGAAGGTACATGAGCAAAAATGTAATTTAACCTAAAATTAAATATTAATGACTATTTTAATTTAAGTAGTGACTACTTTTCTTCTGACAATGACCAGATTGAAACAAGCTATTGTAACTTTCCCTAAGCAAATTATTTATAAAGGAGAAGAAAAGACACCAAAACTAAGAAAAAAACAAGGAGAAGAAAAAGCTTAATTTGAGTGATTTTAGATGAAAATCACTAATCTCCTAAGCTTCTTCATCTCATCCATGGTGTTTTTTCTCTCTTCCATGATTAGTTTCTAGCTATTGGAGTCAAGCCAAGTTGAAGAATAAAGAGCCAAAATGTTCATAACCCTAAAATATCAGTTTTTGTAAAGTTGTGCATTTCATTAATTGATGCTTATGCTATGGCATAATTGGGTTACAGTGGCATAAACCACTTTGTCACTATGCATTACACTGTAGCGTAATTCAAAGATGCTATAGCGTAAATCCTACCTTTTGTTCATTTTTAGTCTTTACTTACATATAGCACCTTGACTCATAATTTAGATCACCCTATACACAATATAACATTATTAATATAATTTTATCTCAAATGATCCATTCATTTCAATAAGATATTATTGATTTTTCCTTCTCATATTCAAAAGCACTTTTCTTTTGTTTTTCTCAACTAATAGTCTCAATTTCTCTAAAAATTAGTTAGATGACTCCAAAATAAATCTAAAATTTCTAAAAAATACATAAAAATATTTGGAGTCATCAAACCCCTGCAATTGAATTCTTGTTTGTCCTTAAGCAAAAGGAAATCACTATACCAAAAGGACAAAATAAATTATGAAAGGTATCAAGGTCAACATATATGGGATTTAGTAGACAGGAAGTTGGGGGCAGTGTAGACCCATCTATTAATAGAGTGTGGAAGACTTTTGTGAGATTTTGTCTACCAACCTTCAATGGTAACATGAAGGAGGGAGAGGTCGAATTGTGGATAGAGTGCCTTGAGATTATTCAAGGTGGTAATCTACACTTCAAAATAAAAGGTGACTCTAGCTATGGTACAACTAGTCAGAATAACTAAGAAACGGTGGGATTCAATAAGACTGCTTGATGGTGCAAGGTTGTCATAGGAAGAGTTCAAGAAGATTTTCTTCGACTATTACTTTCCGATCTCCTTCTGCACTGAGAAAGAAAAAGAGTTTCATGTCTTCAAATAGGTGGATCTAGATAAAGAAGAGTTTATCGGAAGGTTTAATAATTTGTAAAGTTACATAGTATAAATCTTAAACTTATCTCATATGTAACTATGTCACCAAGCCTTTTGACCTAAAATCATCATGGATTCCTACATGATAACCTTTAAACTTTGATCTAGTCAAAGTCACCTATAGCTAGGTGATCATAAAGGCTATGATTGAGTTTAGTGATATTCATGAAGAGGATTATAAGTGATCAAGATGGAATTTGTCTCTCACATTAATTGAGAGATACTATTAGGCCCCTTGATGAATAAGACTAAGAAAATATATGACCATACTATAATAAAAAAGATTTTTTGATTACTATAGTCAGTCCACTTAGAGATCAAGAAAGTAATAGTCAGATAAAGGAGAATGACAATTTTATGTCTCATACTTGATCGAAATATTATGTGACAAAAGAGATGTGATATGATTATATGATATGTTACATTGGATCATTGATCCTTATATAAATTAGGTAGTTATAATATCTTGCTAGAGGTCACTTGTAATATATGGGCTAGTAATGTTATTGGCCTACTATCAATTTCATATGAGCCTATAGAGTCGCACATAAGAACAACCCAACTCAATCTATAATGTCTAAGTTTATTGAATCCAAAATGTGTCTAAATTCAATGAATATAATGTTTTATCTAGGGTGAATGAATTATATATATATATATATATGCATTTGAATATTTATCTAATAAATATTTGTGTATATATATATAAATTCAAAATACAGTATATATATATATATTGATATATCTATTATATTATATTATTATGTTAGTTTTAAATTTAATTTTATATGATAAATTAAATTTAATAACTAATATGATATAAAAAGATATCATATCAGTTCTATTATTTGAATTTATGAGATAAATTCAATTTATAATATAATATGTCTATTTTATTATATTATATTATTATATTAGTTTTAAATTTAATTTTATATGGTAAATTAAATTTAATAACTAATATGATATAAGAAGATATCATATCAGTTCTATAATTTAAATTTATGAGATAAATTTAATTAAATTTTCGTGGGCTCATAAAGGAAGACAAAAAACCCTAGTCTATATAAGGTAGACAGGGACAAATTTTCTAGTGAGTGAGTCTCTTAACAGCAAAATCTAAGAGCTATGAAAATACCCTAGAAAACAAAAAGAGAATTTGATTGACAGATTGACAAACATTAAATATGGAGAGTGCTTGCATCTTTTTTGTGTGGATACCAGTAAAAGGAGCAGATCTATTGTAACATCCTCAAATTTTTAACTTGATTGATTATGCTTGAATTAGAGTAATTAAATTTTTTTAGTCTGATGTGTGGCCATAAAGGTCTAATAGGCGTGATTGATTGTAATTTTAGCCTTAGATATGGGTTTGAAGGAGAGTCGGGTCACTTGGATGTGAAAAAAAGAAGAAAACTTGAAAGGTAAGGTTCTGTGCCATGCACCACGGCTTGTGGATGGGTTGTTGCAGTGCATATGTGCTAATACACTTGGAGTAGGACTTCTTTGTACCATAGGCTGCGATGCATGGCCACTTTTTTGCAAAAATTAGGACATAAAAATTAATGCAACAAAAGAGAGAAATAGAGGAGGGACGAAAGAGACAAAAAGAGTAGTTCTAGGGCTTTAAAGGTTTGAAGGTTTGAAGTATCTTAGGGCTTATAAACATTTGAGATAATGTTTCTAAGCCTAAATCTTCGTACCTTTCTTTCATTTTCTTGATGTTGGAAGCTAAGGTTTGGTTGAGAATGATGATTTTGATCTATATAGGTTATGAATCCAAACCCATTGACTTAGACAAAATTAATAAGGGTTGTTTAAGCTATTGAAACTTAGCATTTATAATGGTTGGTGGTTAGGGAGCAATTAATGAACAAAATTCCACCATAAATGTACTGGTTGGGGCAATATGGCTCCATAAATGGCCATTAAAGAGTTCAATTAAGTTAATATGAGTTAGAGAAAACTAAGGAACCCTATGTGAATTTTTATATGAGTAAGAATGAATCTTAAGAGTGAAGAAGTGTTTGGGTTAAGAGTGGGAGTTAGCCCAAAGATGAACATTGATGAATTATGTTGTAAATGTTTGTAGAGTAATCATTTTGGCACCATTCAAGCTTCTTGGAAGCTTTAGAAGTGAGTATTTAAGGAGTGAAACCTTTGACCTCTCAAGTGTTTGAGGTAATCAGAGAATTCTTACTTATATTTTTGTATGTTAATTAATTTATTGATTGATATTTGAAAATTGAACATATGAAATTGAATGAAATGCAATTGTAGCCTAAATTACTTGAAAATTCACTATGATGATTTTATAAGTTCAATGAAATGTTGCATACAAAATTATTTGTAAAATTGTTAGTGGATTCTTGTGATACAATTTTCTTGGATTTCAATGATGATATATGTGTAGAGTTTAATGAAATGGATTTTTGATAAGGAGTTCAATGAGTTGTAAATGAGAAGTTCAATGAATTTGTAAATAAGGAGTTCAATAAAATATTTCCTTTAGAGTTCAATGACGTAATTCAACAATGAAGATCAATGATTTTGTGTTAAACAAAGTTCAATATTATGTGCAATTAGAGTTACATGATTGTGTTTCTTGAGAGTTTGATGAATATGTTTGAGGTAGAGTTCTATAAAATCGTGAAAATGTGAGATAAGCATACAATGAAATGATTGAACATGTTGAGTATTAAAAACTTACATGCTGTGAGTCATTGCATTAATGTGTAACACATGATCTCGAGAGGTAAGAGTTTTCCTATGAAGAGGAGTAGAGAAATTAAATCTACATGGTAAGACTTTCATCTGAGCTTGATGCGTTGTCTAGGTTATTATATTCATATTGTATCACTTGTTCAATAAGGGACTCGAATCTAACTAGCTATCTACTTGTTCAATGAGGAAGCTAGTCTAGGGAGAATGACATCCCATAGTATGAGAAATGGAAAAAACCATGACCCATAAGTGAGCTGGGAAAACCTTGGCCAGGTAACCCCTCACACATGTTTAGGCTAGGGAAGTCTTAGATTATAGACGATTCCAATATGTCATAGCCTATGGTTTCATGTCAGAGGAATGAGGAGGATATAAGGGAGGTGTGATTATGCATATAAAGAAAAGGGCACATAGTTGTTATATTGTGACCCTAGTAAAATAAAACATGTGATAGTTATGTTCCTATGTGAATTGACAATAATTTGATTAATATCTCACGAGTATGTTTATTTATGAACGAGAATGTGGGATAAAGTACGTGAATGTTTTATGATTTGATATTGATTATCCTTGCCACTTGCATTTTAAATTAATTGATATGTATTAGTATGAGTTAGTTGGACCTTAGTTACTGAATAGTTGTTCTCACCCCACTATCTTCAATATTATATGAAATAGCTCAAGAGGATCAAACAGAGGAAAACAACCAAAGGCATAGGATTGACATCCTAGTAGTAGGCCTCTTTTATCTTTTGAGTAGTATATGTATATGATGATTAATATTGCCAACTAGGATTAATCCATCTTGGATCTTACTTGCATTATGTGTTTTGTGTTTTGTAAAGTGTATTTTGGGCCTCAAGATGTATGTATGTGATTTATGATGTTTATAGCAAGGTCAAAGTACTATTTGAGTAATTCAAGTGTCCACACGTGGCTCTTTAAGCTATCTAGTTATTGGCACCATTCTCATACTCGTACACTTTACCATTTAAAAGTTAGACACCCACACATAAAATTGTTTATTTTCAATTCAAAACCACAACATGAGTGTCCAAACTCACTAACTTAGTGCCAATAACCTTACAACCATTTGAACCAACTCAAATGGATTACAACCAACTTGATTAACCAATCATATAATAACAATTGTATCCCAAAAATAAATTTGTCACTAAAACCCAACTTCCACAATAACTCAGGGGAGGACAATAACTAAAAACATCAATTCTATTGACCATTTAAACATACAAATAAGACAATAACATCACTTATACTGGTATCTCAAGCCCTCACAACAATTTCATCTCATTACATTTTCCTAAGTCAAGATACACACAATTATACATTTCCCATGCAAGTAACCTCAAAACATGACATATGTCCCTAAGTTGGCATAATCAATATTAGTTCATTACAATTACAAAAAAAGAGAAAGAGAGGACTATACAAACTTAAGCCTCTCAAATCTCAAAAGCACCTTCCTTCTCTTTACCCTTATCAAAACCTTCACCTGTAAATATAATCATAAGGTGAGTTAAGGACTCAATAACTAAATAATCTAATTAAACTACTTGTGCATAAGAATAGTTAGTAAGATGTGAAATGACAATAAAACATGTGATTTAGATATCAAATTTCAAATACACATGGCTATACAATGATGATATGCATGATCAACACACCACCTTATACCCTCCTTATTTCCTCCGACTAAATTTGTGGGTTAATAATTTGATAGAATCGAGTCCATGTGACTAGACTGGCTTAAGCTCACCAATCATGGGAGGTAGTCTTGGACAAAGGCTCCTTCAACTATTATGGACCATAAATTCTCCCTTTCCTTGAATACTTGGGATGTCGTATGCCTAATCTATCTTAAATAGTATTGGAACTTCCAAACAAGGATATGATTGAACATTGGGGCCTCCACAATGCTACTATACCTTATAGATTTCACACAATGTCCCCTGATCACATTAGGATGAACTCTCACCCTCTCATAATGATCATGCTTAACATTATGCTCAAACATTTCCACACATAGTTATACACATGTGATTTATTCTTGAATAATCATTTCTGTAATGAATCATACATTTTTGCAAATATATACACATATACATATGATTTAGCATAAATCTTTCAAAAACCCCATATATGTAAGGGTATATGTACATTCCACTTCACATAAGGTTTCTAAATTTCAATCATTTTCTAATAATAATATACTAGTTCAAAATAATAATGGAGTAATTTTTGCAATTTCACATAACTATCCAAACATGCAAATAATAAGTTTAGATAATTTGGTTACCTTAACCTTTTTATTACTGAAAGGGTTACCGTGGTCATCTCCACTAGTGTCCACTAGTGTGACAACACCCGATCAATATTTACTCTACAAGATTAAATATTGAATCAATTATCACTCTAATTAACCCCTTTTTAGTCTAATTTTGGGCACCCACCATACCCAAGATCTCACTTTAACACCATTAATGTTATGACCTAAAAAAATTTAAAAATTAGTTGAACAAATTTCTCTCCCAAGGATAGTTTATTTAAATAAGTTTTTAGCAAGTTTGATTTTATTTTATTTTAAATTATAGGAGAATTTGGGTCATTTTGTAATTTTTCCTATGTATTTCTTGTAATTTTCTTTGTTCCTTTCTTTGCAATTTTTCCCAAACCTATTTGATCAGATTATATTTCTTCGAGAGAAGCAAAAACAGAGCATTCCTACTTTGCTTCATCACCAACTTTGAGCTCTCTTCTCTTATCACTGTCGGCCTCTTTCTTCTCAATTTCAACTCGCTCTTCCGCTGACTGTCTGGTTGTATCGGCTCGTCTCGGCAGCTGGAAGTAGGAGTCATCAGAGTCTGCTCTTTCTTTGCTGTCATCTCGTGCTTCTCTTCCAGGTTGATCGTCTGTGTGCGTATATCCGAGCCTTCTTCCTTCATCAGCGTCGACTATGTGCTGAACTTGAACCATTACTACTGCACTCAAGTTTGAGGTAAATCATTGATCCTCTCTTCTCCTCGTTGGAAAACTCGTTCATTCTCTTCCTCTTCGCTGTTCGTCCGTGTGTATCTGGTAATGAGCTGAATTTCTGCTCTGTTTGCTGACTAACGAAGGAGGTGCAAGCACACATATTCAGCCTTAGTTTTTCTTTTTCCTCTGATGCTAGGCACCGTGTGTGTGTAGAAAAAGCTCAATTTTTTTTTAATATATATATATATATATATGCTGATTCTGCTTCTTCTTCACGTGGAGCAGTTGGGTTGAATTCTTCTTTTATCTTTTGGGGTAGTCTATGAACTAAGGAGAGCCTGTTATTTCTGCACTTCTATTCAAGGTTAGACGGTGATCCTTTCTTCTTCTCCTTTGAATTATAGGTCGCGTGAATCATCCTTTCTCCTTCCCCTGGCCAAAGAACATGTCTCTGCTCGTCCTAATGGCTGTTCTAATTCTGAGGAAATTGATTTGTATTTTAAGTTGATGCTATATACTGTTGTTTGGAGATGAGCTAAATGGTGATAATGAAGATATTGTTGAAAGTTAATTAAATTGTTGGACAATTATTGTGAACTAAATTTTTGATATATTCAAAATATTTGTAGGTATGGTTAAAAGAAGAAATTGATGGGAATAGGATTATTAAAATTTTGTTAAGCTCGAAATAATAGTTGTATTAATGGTTGTGGGTGAATGTATCTAATATTATTGACTATTTGATAGAGATTGTTGAAGGGTTCGGTGAGAATTTAGGAGGTTATTGAGAAATTTAATAAATAACTGAAGAGCTTGAACATTAATTTCACTTGCTTATATCAAAAAAGAAAATTATAATGACATGAAATGTATTAGTTTACATGCTAGATTAAATTGGGACATCATTGAAGTAGGCAAGAAATTAAGAGAGTTCGACCATAAGATTTTTAAAAATTCAGGTGAGTGGGTAGTGTTCCAAATTAATCTTTGGTAGCATGTTTATAAAATTTCTTTATTTAAATTTCACTATCATTCTTTTATAAATTGTACAAATATTTTTGTTAATATTATTTTTTTAATAATTGTTTTACTTTTGTTAAAATGTTAATCTTATTTTTTAATAATTGTTTTATTTATGAACACGTGTTAATTTTACTAAGGATTTGTATTGTTGATCAGCAATGATTGAAACAAATATACGACGAATTGTATTATTTTTTATAAGCAGTTTAATTATTTAATTTTACATTGACATAAAATTTTTATCGCAATAATTTGTGCATGGAGGAAATGATCATAAATTTGGAAAATATTTGCAAGTGAACATTTTGAAACTATTTTTTTCTTGCTTCATATATACTTGATTTTAAGGAGAAAAATTGAGTTCAGAATGCTAGATGCTAACGGCAGTTTCATTAGCTCTTGGCGCATCATGGTACACCTAGCTAGCAGAGTACATTAGAGGTGCTAGCCTTGTGCGACGGCCAACGCATGTGGAATGAAGGGACGATTATTCATAAGCATGGTACTTATGCTTGCTTTCGTGGGCTTTGCACCTGCGCTTGTTTCGTGGCTCTCAGTCGCGCTTAATTGGTTATTTACCCTCATAGAGTGTGTATCCATGCTTGTTATTCATTTTGATAAAGCCCTCTTGTATTTAAATTAAGATTTTTATTTTTAGATTAGTTCTCCAAAAGCATTTTATCTAATTGCACCATTATTGAAAATTTTTATATCTTATGAGCAATACAAATTTTAATACACTTATGTGATTCTAATAATGTTGTCTAATTTTACAATTATATTATTGAGGAAACTCATTATTTATTGTTAGCTAAAGCATATGTTTCATGATTTCATTAAGTCATTTTGAATTAAATTTATCAGTTATTAACTTTATATATATGTGTATTTTAAATTATAATTTTCATTGGAATACTACTCACCGATAATTTTTTTAGTCTCAGATATTGTAGTTGACCCTGCACCACCAGTAGATCGTTGAAGGGCCTTTTTGCTTATTGGAAAGAGGAAGCCTATTGTGACTATTATTGTGGTAAAACTATATATTTTATTTTGCAATCATAGCTTAGTGCTCCACGTGCACCATAGTTAGGTTCTAATCTTATTTTGTATCATGTAAATTGCTGGAATGGAGCTAGTCTCCTTGCAAGTTTGGTTGATAGGTTCTATTGTTGTTGAAATTTCGAGAGGTCCAAATTAAAGGGGAAAATATTGAAATTTTCATAGAACATTTAAAACTTTATGAATTTTATTATTGCATAAAACTTACATATACAAATATTTTAACTTAATTTCTAGTTAATTGAAGCTTATGAAATATGAGCTCATCTCATATTTCATACCGATCATACCCTTAGTATCGGGGTGTGATAATTAACACTTTCATCACATTCTAATAATTTCATTTAACACTTAAACATTTAAATAAATACAAATTTCCTCCCACATTGCTCCTAAACTCTCAAATTTTACTTAGGGTTTGTCCAAACCTTAATCAAATATTTCAGATCACTATAAAATTCATAAACTTATATTTAGGAACTTCAGTTAACTCCCTAAGATCTTAATTAAGTTAATGGGTTTGTTCAAAACTTAAAGAAAAATGAAATCAAGCCCCATAATAGGAAGCTTACCCAAAACCAAAGAAATTTCACATAAAGCGAGAGGGAGAGGCATGGGAAGCTTATCCAAGGATGAATTTTGCTCAAAATGCTCCCAAATTGTTTCCAAGATGAAGCCTTAGCAGACGCCAAGCCTTTACCATCGCCTTTCTCGCATTTTCTCTTCTCCTCCTTTTGTTTTTCCTGCATGCAAACAATTTGACATGTTCAGATTTTTCCTATCTACTGCGGTGTATGGTGCATCTATCATGGTGGATGGCACAGAAAGGCTAATCACATTTGGGTCTCTCTCTATGCCTCGATCTGCTCAAACTTTGACTTAGCCTTCTTCCAAAATTGTTGATAAAACACATTTGTTGCACACGTTTATTTGTCAATTAGGACCCTTTTATTAATATTTTATCACCTCAAAGTGCACTCATTGCACTAGAATTGAAAAATTGCCTAAATGTCTAGGTTTAGTACGCTAGGGGTATTTTGGTCTAAAAATGAACTTTTGAGAAAATGTACAAGAATAATTGACAAAGTAAATTTTATATCCAGTTGATGAGTGGTCAAATTATATTTTTGAAATTCATTTTAGTTTGGAAGTAATTAAATAAAAAGCCAATACTTTCTTTAGTATCTTAGTTTGACTTAGTTTTCGGTTTGCTTTATGTGAAAATTTTTATATAATTTTCTACAGCCTAGAACTTGATTATTTTAATAAATTCTCCCTTCTAATTATGAATTTAATTTTGGATATTAATTAAATTTTATTATATCACATGTTATTTAATTGAATTATGTAATTTACGTGACATAGATAATAAAGTCAACATTCCTTGAGGTCAAAGTAGAGCATTTGGAATGTGATTTTTGCCATTTTTGGGGGATTAAATTAGCTTGAAATGTGGATGACACATGAAAATTAGGCACATATTGAAATCATCTACAAACTAATAGGAGGGTACTACCTTGTAAGTATGATAAGGCTCCCATTTCCTTTCTATTTTTTTCTTATTTTTTTAATTGAGGATTCAGCTGAAGGGAAACACTAGAAGCATGCCGTTTACACCCTAAATCAGATCTAAAAACTCATCTGATTTCATTTCCTTTATCTTTTATTACTTGTTCATAGTGTTCTTCATCTTCTCTCTTGTGTTCTTCATTTTCCAGCACCATATCTCACATTTTCAACCACCAAACCTCCACAAAACTCATGCCATTCTTCTCCTCTCTTCAATCTCATCCTAACCCTCTCACTTTTATAAGGATTGAAGCTCATTTCATCATTCAAGAGCTATCGAGTTTGGCCTTTACAAGTAATTACTAGGGTTCTTGAATATGATGAAGATTGGCTAATTTCTTTGGTGCAATCCTAGAGAGATGAAGATGAAGGATGAGTCTTGAGCTTCAAATTGGCTAAGTTATTTTGTTTCCTATGCTCTTCTATTCTTACTAGATAGTTAGATTCCTTAATCTAGGGTTTAATCATCTTAATTTGTAAAGTTTGAATTTGATGTTGATGTAAAGAGAAAGGATTGTTTCATTTAATTTCTTCCTTGGACAGCCATGACTGAATTTGGCCATTTGTTTGGCACATAATTTTGTGTTTTTCAATTAGTGAATTACATATGTTAATGCTGCATAATCTTGTGATGTTAATACTTGAGTTGTTGAGTAGCTTGACATAATCTTGTAGTTACCTGATTCCTTATCTTGGTCGTGGCATTTGAGGAAGAGGTTTGAGTGAATCACTTGGCTAATTTCTTCATCAATTGGTTAATTGAACTAGAGACTTTAATCTAAGACCTAGAAAAGTTAGCTAATTAGGTTAATTGGCTAAGGGACTTTAATCACTTGGCTAATTTCTTCACCAAATGCTTAATTTGCATTTTTAGTGTATTTAGAAAATTTTTGAGAAAAATTATAAAAATTTGTGTTTCTTGTGTTTGTGTGTTTTGTGTTAATTTTGGAAAAGAGAAAAAAAAATTAGTGCAATTTTCATGTGTTAGTGTAGAGCTAGACAATACTTTGTTTTCAATGTCTTAGGAAGGATATAACTCCTGGTGACACTGCCTGGAGATAGAAGCTAAGATGAGGCAACAATACCCATACTTGTTTCCTTAGGTACATGTGTGTGTGATTGTTTCAATTTTAGGAAAAAAATTTCTTAAAAGGAGGAGAGAACTATAACACCCTAAAATTTTAATCCGAGAAACTAATTGCTAGTTTGAAGGTAAAATAGTAATTTAGTATATTAATTAGATAATTAAGATTTTGGATGGTAAATTAACATTTTGACTTCTTAAGTTATTGAATGGATAGGATTGGGTAGAAGAACAGCATTTTGGAGTGAAGCGTGCAAGTATGGTGGAATTAGGAAGTTTTAAGGGGTTGCTTTCTTACCCTTTTGTAATAAAAAAAACTCTTTGCGACTAATTTGAAAGTTAATGGCTAAGCTTTGAATTTATAAGCTTAATTTAGCCTGATTTAATAGTTAAAATGGGTAAAAGTTTGATACGAAGGGTATTAAAGTAGTAGAAGTGATAAGAGAATTGAGTAAGGTAATAAGAACCTGTGATGGGTAGATGGAACAGTTTAGATATTTAATTGTGACAATTAGTACTTTTAGTCAGTTTAATAATTGACTTATAGTGTTAATTTGTAGATTAGTGTGTTTAAACGTTTGTTGAGCAAAAGGAAGTTAAGGATATAAATAGCACCACGGGTAACCCTTCTTAAGAATAGAAGGGTTGAGGTAACTAAATAATTTGTTATATTTATTAATTAGCATAACTGCATATAAGTGAATGTGAAAATATGGTTTCAAGGTTTTTGATTTAGTGTGTTTTGTAATATGCATGTTTTAGCATTCAAAGTGATTTGACAATGTTTATTCAGTTTTAAATGGTTTTAAAAAGGAAAATGATATATATATATATACTTACCTAGAAGTATGGAAGTGTGTAAATGTGATTATATGTGTCTAAAAGTAGCATGATCATAATAGTGGATGGGAGTTCACCTTATGTGTTTGTGTAGGGATATGTTGAACCAAATCCATATGGTCGGGTTGGCACCATAGAATACTTGGTGTAGTATATTATTTAGGATTGTTACCATGAAACATTTGGGTAATCTAACAACTGCCTAGTGCCTATGAGGGTAGAGTTAGGAGTCAATGACACTATTATCAGTTTTTTGAAAAGGGGAATCCATAGTCTAGATGTGGGATAGAATATCTTTAGTCAGGTATTTCTACCATTAAAGGTATGCTTAGATCAATGGTTTTATGATTGGTCCAAGAAAGTCTATGGGTTTGGTCAAGGAACTTAGAGGTTCGGTGGATAGAGGATTATACTAATGTGTGATTGATTTCATGAAAAGTGATTATAATTGTATACCTATATCTATAATTATTAATTATACATGCTACAATGGTTTTGTTTACTTGTATGCGGTTATTCATGTTAGTAGATATTTAATAAATTATTTTAGTTACTAATATTTTTATCTCACTTATGGTTATTAATATTTTACAAGTTCTAAAGTCAAGAGCTCAAAAGGGAAAGAGTCAGGCCAAAATTAATGGATCTCTTATTAGTCCACCTAGGATTGGTTGAATTCATTTGTCGTAAATTACAAATTGCATATAAGTTGCCATAAGACTATATAAATATGTATATATGCATATCAATGTTATGCGCTTGTGTGTGTTTATATTACCTAGCCTTGTAGCATGTGTATGTGTTTGAGGTCAATATTGTAAATAAGGGCTAAGGTATAATTATGAGTGCGTATGCATGTATTGAGTTGATGTGGAAGTGTGAAGTTTGTTTAGATATGTAAATGTTTGTGAAAGTATGCTTTTGCCCTAGTATGTGCTTAAGGGCAAATGAGTAACAAACTTGTGTATATATGTGATATTGTTCATGTAGTTGGTCAGTCAAGTGTTATATGTCCTATTGGATGTGATTTGATCTCAATTTGAATACTTGAGTGCAAAAAGTTACTTTTTTTCTAAAAAAAGAACCCTAAGTGTTCAAATCCAACATTTACCTTATTAGACCACTTTGGGCCTTGAACCAAGTTTAAAAGGAACACATACACTTGATTCACACATATAATCACACATCACACATCTCATACACAGTTTGACCTCCAAATGCCACTTTTCACATATGTAGTCTTACATGAGGAAAGCATATACTGACACACATGTTTTTACTTGTTCCATATACATATATCTGACTTGCATATATAGGGCTACGTTTCACTATATAGACAGGGTTCTCACACACATTCATATTATAAAAAATTCACATATACACACTGTTAGAACAAATTAAACACTTTAGAATCTCAAATCTTGGTTATTCATAAACACCTCTAGCTTTACACAAGTACCCACACTCTAGGCACTACA